GGAGAAAAAGTGCCGTAAGCCCGGACTCGACTTCGACTTTGACGTATACAGGCCTAAACGTACTCTTTTAAAATCTTGATTCAGGTTTCTCAGGGAAACGGACGATTCTTAGTGAAATTTCTTTGATTCGATTTTATTTTGGATAAACAAAAAGTTGGGGTTTGAACAGGAAATAAATCAATTTGCTTCTAGAATGCCACAAAGGTGATGAAAATAGCATCATATAACTATTACAAATAAAGCCAAATACCTCAGACTAGTCTAGGGTAGTTGTCTCGGGTTGTGGTTTGTCTCCCTTCCGTAGCATCTGGCTCCCTTGATTGGAATCCCGGATCATCGTAACCGATGGTTAGAGACACTGATTGATATGGTTGGTTGTCGAAACAGTGGCGCTCGTGCATCTGCTGATTATGCTTGCAACCTTAGTCCATATGAATTCTCTATCTTCCATTTCACTCTGGTCGCAACATCCCATTGCTCCTGCTGTTTTATCCAAATGGACAGCCTAAAGACAAACAACATTGCGTACCAGATTTTTATTTTCATATCGAAAGAGTATTACTGCTAGGCGGGCGGGGATTACGATCACAGATAACCGTTCAATCTTTTTATCACTTCAGTATTGTTCAGTCACAGAACTGGTCTGCTTTCGGGCCAAGATAATTGCTGGCTTTATCTTCTTTTGTTCTCGATCCACCGCCAGTCACACGCAATATACTCGTTGACACTTTTATACTTTCTCTCATTTTGGGAAGGATGAGGATTTCCACATCAGCGAACTGGCTTGTATTATATGCTTTTATCTTGTACACACACTTTATTGAGGCCAAATAGGCAGCATCTCGTCGTACTGTTGCATTCTATTCAGATGGTAGGAAATTCGGGGACTATGTTGCGCAAGCAGTATATCACTCACATTTAGTTCACGAGTATCGAATAAACCCATGGCAGATCTGTCGGTCTTACTAAGGATGCTACTAACTGTGGCGATAGTTAGTAAGGCTGTCATCCAACTCAATACCACTGCTATCCTACTGCAGCGTTCTGTGTTTCTGTATCGCAAGGTTCCGGGACGAAAACGCCGCTTCCCATAACCAAATAGATTCTGTTAACTAAAAATGTTCCCCTCTGCTAATTTTCACTAGAATGTTTATGATACAACACACTATATACAAAGTAGGATGCATAGTTGCCTCTGGTAGCATCTTAGATTTATCAAACCAGTTTGTGCGGTCAGTTAGGACTTACAACCACAACGTAAGGCATTTTTAAAACGTTATTAAACGTTTTAGCATCTAAGCCCTTCATATTCAATCTTGTTTCTCCTTTCCTTTTCAAAAAAGCGTTTCGTATAACTGCATGCAACCAGCAGTTTCACGTTTACTCGTGCAATCAGTTTGGGAGTTAAGAACAGATCCCCCTTTCAATTCAACATCTGAAATCTATGCATCTCTCTCTTTTCTGTGAGCGTATCGCAGTAAATTTTCATCATTAATCGGTGTTGATTTGTCTCACAAACATGAACAATAACAGGTATCCAGTTGGTTTTCCTATCAATACTGATCTGCACATTAGCAGTCAAGATTCGGACTCTGCTGGCCAACTTAGTGTGGTGTGTTTTATTTTTCTCGCTTTCGCGAACGTTACACTTTTTGATTTATTTTACGCCCGGTTCCACAGGATTACTTTCAGTTTGTTAATCTAGTTCCTCCAACAGTTGTTGCCACATAATAGTCGATCAGTCCTAACCGAGCTGTATGTTTGCACTATGCTCTGTCAGCTTAACATGACGTTTCGTACCAGTCAGCCGACGCAACTGCGTTGTGGTAGCTAGTGGTCGTGTGTGTGCTTATTGATCCTAGCTCGGTCGAAACTCTCTCGCGCACGCACACATGACGACATACACATACACACGGAGCGCGTAAAGTCAGCCTGAGAGTGTTGGACCGATCCGAACTTAGGATTCAGAGTTCAAACCGAAGTGATACAGCATAGTCTGCCACGGGTAAACCTACTCGAATCTATAGACATAATGTATGGAGGGTATTTGCACACCATATTGTCACCTGATCGATTGAATCACATGGGCACCTTGTTCGATAGAGGAAAACAGACGGATTCGAATATCACCGGAGAAGTCGCATGAATTAGGATGGAAACTCACATGATCGAGCTTCGGCATCGTGTCATTGAAAAATTACCTGTAGGATTAATGGCGAAATGTACCTTTCAATTAACTTTTCATATCCTGTGAAATCCAAGAACTAAAGTAATAAGGAGTAGAAATGAGTGTGATAATACTCATAGCCCATTATTTATGAAGTGAAATATTTGGTCTGTAAAGAGAACCCACCTCCAAAAATGAAACCCGGTAAACAACATACACTCAGTACATTGAACTGTACGGAAAACATATGATCAGCCAGTTTTCATAAAAAGTTGTACCACGATGATCATCAGTAGTGTCCCAGTGGGGGATAGAATAGAGCAAGTTTCATGTATATGAAGCTCCTGGATTTCTAGCTGTTGGTCATCTTATCACAGCTTTTTGATATCGGGATATATTCTACTTGACGACTATCTGTTTTCACATCGGTCTAGTCTTCTCGGTCCGTCAATATAGAGTGTATGAATAAGTGGACCATTCTAGACTAACTGGGAAACACCAATATCCCTCAAATCGCGGTATTTTTGCATCGTGATCACACCAAAGGGAAATGATCTAATTTGGATGACACATTCAGATGGGATAGAACTTGTTAGAAACCACAAATCGGTGGTTACAAATATAAAATATACATATATATATATACATATATATATATGAACCACACACTTACCGTTATTCCTCTCCCTTGTCGGACCCCCCCCCCCNTGCGATGGAAGCAGCGATTAATAGCATTCGCTTTGAGCTTCAAGTTTTGCAATGGGATGATGCGCAATGCCTTCGATTGACCAATGTCCTCAATGAACTGTCCGCTTTGATGAGATGTCCACAGTTTGCGATTGAATTTGTCAAAGCCCAAGGTCTGGAATTTGTGTTTCAACTTGTGGAACGTTTCCAGTGAGTTGGGTTCTGGGCATTTTTGACTTATTAGAGTCTTCTCTTCACGTTTATAACTAAATTTCTCATCATTTGAAGCCACAATTTGGGTAAGAAATGTTACCCATAAACTTTGTGAGCTATTTTATTTTCGCCGATATTTATCTCCTCCCTCCCCCACACATACATACACATCAACATTGTACATTTCGTGCTCCAGATGATGTGATTTAACCCTAAACACCATGAATAAATTTGTATTAGATTTATTTATATCGGGAGGAATTGTTCCTTACAGTGATAGTGCTATTGTGCCAGATTTCTTCCAACCCCTAGATATATATTGGTGTACTCTGAATTCATGGTCAATTTGTAACACGAAGTAAGTCGTGTAACAACGAAACCGCGACAGGTATATATATATATATGTGTATGTATATATATATATATATCCCAATATGTGTGCGTAGGCGTTCTCATCGCGTTGATTCAATCAGCAGAAATGATATCTTGCTTCAAACTGATACACTCAAAACTTGGAAATATCACCAGCTCAAAATAGTTCATGGGTGGCGGCGATCCTGTGGGATAATTCACCGTCATCTCGGCATGGAAGTCGTCTATTCAAACAAACCCCACAACCACTACCGGCTTCTGCGTATTTCCACAACAGACTTTCTCTGAAATCATTGTACCCTAGTTTAGATAATGGAATGACCCTAAAGAAGTTTCTTCACAGCGAATCTGGGTATCGTCCATCAGGTATACAGCTTCACAGGTTTCGTTCACTCAGCAAAAACCATCACGATCGCACATCTTTTGTGTGGTTCGACTAACTGTTTTGCATTCGTGAAGCAGTTCATTACAAAACCAATCACTTAAACTGTCTGACGAATCACAGTTCTTCTCAACTGAAATCAAATTCTGGTAAATATAAAACGATTGACTGCTAACAAAAATGCATCAAATGCATCAATCAAATACGATCTGGACTGCGACCTCATGCGTGTCCACTGGAATGAAACTCCTCGGTACGCTACGTTACCTGACCCAGGTTTTGACGAGCACAGAAAGAATAAAAACAAAACAGCCCATCGAACTGGAATATCAGCTTGAACTTGTATCTCTTCGACTGCTCTAGCTTTCAAATGACCATTCTCAATGTATTGTTTGCCACTGTTTTGACAGCAGAGCTGACTGAAATGAAGGCAGAATGCTTGCATAAGTTTTCATTTTTATCATTTTTACTTCCTTTTGTTGAATACGTTGATGATACAACTTTCAGGAGGGGGAAGCGGCCAATCAAAAGGCTGCCGTACAACACACAAAAAGGGGGAAAGTCAGGCGGCAGTGTTGGTGGTGGGATTTGAACACATGTCCTCCTCCCGGGTGATAATTTAGTCACGTTACCACCAAATACAACTGCAAGTTTTAAGTAGCATATTTGATATGATAAAATAATGTCTAAAAACGGCAGATCTGAAACAATTCTGTTCACTGCTCCATGAATTGCATGTTTGAAATACCAAACGGAATGTTAACGCCTCTGTTAAGCAAGCGGACGGACAACCTACGGAGTTGATAAATTCCCCCCTTATGGTTGGTGGTGACTGCCGCAGTTTGCTTTTCCGGAAATGACTCGACTTTATGTCCACTAGTGGTCAAAATATTCTTCCTTCTCTACCATTTCATTGTTCGCTAGGCACACCGATCAAGTCAAACCTGGCGTATTAAAGCAACAAGTTTCAGTCTGGTCGTCCTTGGTGGCCTGCCTGGCTCAAATTTCCGAGTATGGCATCAGCAGTGCTGACGAGGAATTCAGTGATATTTCGCGCGAAGAAGAATCACGCGAAGTTTCCGGTGGTCCGGATACAGCTCTGAATAGAACATTTAACGAATTGTTCAGCTGGCATTTGGTTTCGGATACATTTGTAGCCGTGGTAAGTCATGCTCGTCTTATCTCTAAATTCTGTTCGCATTGAAACATTATATTCTGGTTTCCGTTGCCCTGGTTCTTGTTCTGGGGATGCATCTTGAACGACTTGATTTCACGGTTTGAAAGCGTTGGTCATTTACGTAACAGTGGGAACGTGAAATGAAATACTGATGAGCTACTTCAAGTTGCTTTAGCTCCATAAGTATCATTGGTATCATCCAAGCTCTAGGGATCATTCCTACAGTACGTATCTCCAGGATGTCAGTGAAACTGACCCTCCTGCCCTTTGGTGGTGGTGGCCAAGTGGTTAGATCACCAAAATGTGACCTGGAAGTCCTGAGTTCGAACGACTTTACCGCCGTCCGTCTTCCCCATTTCTGGATTTTCCCAGGCAGCCTTTGTATGACCACTGCCCCTTTCCTGAAAGTTGACTGTACATTTGTATGTTCAATAAATAAAAAGGAACTTAACATATATTTATCTGATAATAGGTAGTATGTGAATGACTGGACAAAATTTCCCTAGAAGCACACGACCAGTTTCGCGGTTCTTGCCGCTCGTCAGGCATGCGTATCCGGTAATCTTTTGTCAGTTCATTCATATACTTGT